ACTTTTTTTTTTTTTTTAAACTTAATCTAGTTAGGTACTATGTGACTGGGAGTCAAGTAAAAGCTACAATGGGAACTTGGAACTAAGAAACTTTGGCAGTCTTGGCACAATCAGTTACTAATTGAATGACCTTTGCAAGTAACCTAACCTGCGTGAACCAGTTTTTCAAACCTGGTGAGGCATCTAGACCTCAGTTGTAGTTCAGCTTCAGGCCCAGAAAAGCAGCAAAACCCAGTGGAGGACCAGCTGCAAGGACTAAAGACACCCCCTGCACTGGCACTGACCAATCAATCAGTAGAGCATGACCCTGAAAGGACACGCCAGGAAGACTGATGAATATTCTGCTGAAACCCTCCCCTGAGACCTCCTCTAAGATTCCTGCCTCCAGGTGAGAGATAAAAGCCTCAAGACAAAGGACCCAGGGCGCACTCTCCCCGCTGGGAGCGTGCTCCAGCCTTTCCCCTTTCCCCCTCTCCTCCCAAAGGCATGCATTTCCTAAGCCCTAAGGGACCCTGTGAGACTTGCAACCTGGGAGCAACGGGCAGCAGCAGCTTGTCCGGGGCTAACCGCATCCCCCTTTTCTCTGACCTCTTAGTGAGCCCAAGCCGCCTAGCACAGGCTCATTTCCCGCCTAGTCCCTCGCCTGCTGCTGCTTCTGTCCTAGGCCCTGCCTTGTTTCACGGTCCCCGTCGCCTGGACTGGTGGCCTGAAATCTTTTTGCAGGGAGTCAGGAGCCCACACACCACCGCAGACCCCAGGCCGACCTGCTCAGGGCCAGGCCCCCTTTCGGTAACACGAGATAATCACTTTTAGATTTGGATGTGACGAGGCAAAGCACAGTGAAAATAAAGGACTAGGTACATGTGGAGCGCTGCCAATCACTAATGTGAGCCTGATACTGCTGAAGGGAAAAAACACAAACTGAGTTTGGAGGGAGTTTTAGGAAAAAGTGCCAAAGGAACCCCAGAAGCGGCCCCTCCGGCCAGCCCCAGCTGTCACGCGTATCAAACAACTTGCTGTGGAGGACACGCTCCCCTCTAATTGCAAAACGAATGGCGGCTTTGGAGGAGTCTTTCCCTAACAGCAAATTCCGTTTCTCCAAACTTTCTTTCCCCTCCCAGTCCGCAAACAACCAGTCAGGTTCTCCTCACTGGCTCGGAGGTGCCTCAGGCTGCGAGGGGCCCGCAGGGGGGCGGGGATGGCAGGAGCCCAGCCACAAGCAGCAGGGCCCCAGCTCAGCCTCCACCAGAACAGGGAGGAACCGCCCCCACCGGTGCTTTCGCACGACTTCGGGCGTGGTTTCCGGCAGCGGAGGCGTGCCTTCCGGTCGCCCTTCCGTCTCTTTCTCCTTCCGGGGGGGGACTTCCTGTCTGTCTTTGACAAGCGCGGAGCGGCAGAGCTGGTGATCGGATCGCCTAGGAGGGTGAGTCTGGCTGACCAGGCCTTGTGCTCCTCGAAAGGGCACCATGGAGGACGCGCTTCCTCGCTTTCTTTCTTGCTCTTTTCCTCCCCGCGAGGCCTCTGTTTGCACGGACATCCTGGCCTTTTGGCACAACCACCCACCTGAGGCTCTTTCACTTCCTCTTTCCACAGGCTCCGCCCCCAGCGTCCCGTGGCCATGACAACCGCCCCGGGAGACTCCTTGTTGTGGAAGCTCGCGGGGCTGCTGCGGGAGTCCGGTGAGTGGACTTCCGGTTGCGCTCTGGCGAGCTGGGGTGCTTTCTGCCTTCCGGAGACACGCCTCCTACAGAGTCACGGACTTACAGCTGTTTAGGGTCACGAGAGTGTGGGTCAATTAATTTCTTTACCCTTCCGGGGTTGGCTCGCTCTGGTGCCATTGCCTACGGTGCCCTTTGTCTTTGCCAGTCTAAGCCTTAGCCACCCTTCCAGGCCAGACTGCGCTGCCACCTCCTCCGTGCGTTCTCTGATGCTCTCACTGGAGAGTGATCGTTGCTTGGCTCGAAGCCCCTCGAGACCGGGGACTGGTCATAATCATTGTTGTGTGGCAAGGATCTAAGTATAGCAGAGTTAAAATCACGAGATTTGAAGTCAGACCCACGGGATTTGGAATCCCAACTCTCCTTCATACTTGACCGGATTAAGTCTTTTGACCCTGTTTTTCTCACCAACAAAATGGCATAATGATTGCACTAAACTCAGAGGTTGTGGGAATTAGTTCTAATTCACATAAAGTATTTAGTACAGTGCTTGCATGTATAGTAAGTGCTCAAAATTGGTAGCTATTATAATTTCTTCTCCCAGTAGTTGTTCAGTACGTGGTAGAAAGGCCTTGGCTTTGAGGTCACACAGAAGTAGCAACTTCCTACCAGCTAGCTATAGGATATCAATTAATCTTAACTTCTCTGAGCTCCAGTTTCTGAATTTGTAAGAGGGGTTAATAGTGCTCTTTCGGAGATTCTGATGAAGTTAAAATGAAGTGACAGAGTTGTCTGGCACATATTACTCTGTTAATGTTAGGTGCCTTCCATCACTGCACTGTTTTTGATGGTATCTGTGAAATCTCTCTTTATAGCAGTTAAAACTGGCTTGTGTTATTATCTGTGCACATGTCTTATCTCCTCTTCTAGACTCGGAGGCTCTTTGAGGGTGGGGAGAGTCCTTAAACAATGTGTGTACCTGTCCTCAGTGTCTGGTACATAAAAAATACTTTAGGCAAGGTTATGGGATTTGTTAATTTAGTCAGCAAAAACCTGACTTGGCTCCAGGGGTTAGGAATGACGGTGTGTGGGGGGGATATAAAGAGATAGCAGGAGGGAGATCTTTGTGGTAATGGAATAGTTTGGTATCTTGATTGTGGTGTTGATTTTAGGAATCTACACATGTCACAGAATGGCATAGGACTTATAAATATACATTGTACCAATACCGATTTTCTGGTTTTGATATTGTACTATATATAGAACGTAACCATTGGGGAAACTGGGTGAAGGGTATAGGGGGACTTGGTATTATTGCTACAACATCCTTTGACTCTATCCTTATTTTTTCAAAAAAGTTAAAAAAAAATTCTCCATGCCTATCTTGTAGTTGCACTTTTTTAGGTACAATGGTGAATACCAAAAGATGCCCTGAAGGATGACAGTCTCATTGGAGAGAGCAGTTTTAACATAGAGAGCAATACCTAAGGGCTACCATGAGTAGTTACTCTTTCTATGACACGCATTTTAGTACTGTTTGAGAGTTTCTGTAAGTGTGCATCTTCTGAAACAAGAAAAAAAAGATAAAACACGCAGTTAATTTTACATAAAATAAGTGATTACAGCGAAAAGTTGAGCAGTGTTGTGTATTGAGAAAGCTGCCTGGAGGTGTCAAGCTGGGCAGAGTGGAAGGGTGTGTGTCAGAAAATGAAGGAGCTTGGAACCAAGTTGACTCTCTTTCTAGTAGTGTGAATAGACCAGGATCTTTTGAGCAGAAGGGAAAAGAAAATTTAGAAAAGTTGGAGGCAATATGTCAGGCTGAAGAGTTAGCACTTTTTTGAAGATAGAGGAGCCTTTGAAGACTTACGTGAGGTGAAGATATAAAGCTTGACCCTGTAGTGGAGGATCTACAGTATAGGTTGGAGTGGGTCTATCCTGGGGTCACAGAGTCTCAGAATAAAGGAAGGACCCTTTCCTTATACCCTCCTTCCTGTCCGCCCCTCTCCCTGCAGGGGATGTGGTCCTGTCTGGCTGTAGCACACTGAGCCTGCTGACTGCCACACTGCAGCAGCTGAACCACGTATTTGAGCTGTACCTGGGGCCATGGGGCCCTGGCCAGACAGGCTTTGTGGCTCTGCCCTCCCACCCCACCGACTCCCCTGTCATCCTCCAGCTTCAGTTCCTCTTCGATGTGCTGCAGAAAACGCTTTCACTCAAGGTTCTGGGGTGGGAATGGGGTAGGATGTACGAAAAGCCCAGACTAGTGGAGGCGGGATTGGGGTGTAGCATGGCTGCAAGAAGTCTGCAAGGCACAGATCCAGAAGATGTGAGAGCTACGGGTGGCTGTGCTAAGAAAGAGATGCCAAGGAAAGGGAGATGTGCCTGACCTCATTGGCCTGAATGTTTTTTCTTTTAGCTGGTTCATGTCCCTGGTCCTGGCCTCCCAGGGCCCATCAAGATTTTTCCCTTCAAGTCCCTTCGGCAGCTGGAGGTATGGGGCATTGGGGGATGTTGCTGCACAAAGCCCAGCTTGAGGCAGCCTTTTGAAGATGGGGAAAGAGGTGGCTTCTTTTGGTGGAGGAGGGGCAGGCCTGAGAGTGCCCATTGCTCTGCAGTAATATGGCTTCTACCCTCTTTTCCATTTAATGCTTCCCTGAACCATGGCTTTGCCATATTTTCCCTTCCTTTGCTGCAGCTCCGAGGTGTCCCTGTCCACTGCCTTTATGGCCTCCGTGGCATCTATTCCCAGCTGGAGACCCTGATTTGCAGCAGGAGCATCCAGACATTAGAGGTTAGGAGGATGGGGGTGGGCCCAGATGCCTTGTCCTGACGGATATAGAGGACCAAGCTCTGGCATTCCTCCTCCTCTGCAGCCTTCCCTGTCTCCTGCCTCCCTCTGGACAGTGTTCTTGCTCCCTCTACTGTGCTCCCACAACACTCTGTATCTGTCCATATGTTTATAGTCACACTTACCATATTGTGTTAAATATTCTCCTCTCTGCTACCTCACTTTCCTCACAGTGAACTCCTTGAGGATAGGGCCCTGAGCTCTCTATAAGTCTATATTCAGACAGCTCAGCATATGAAGAATGAATGAACGTCTGGGCTATAGGATGAGGCCTTGGTGTGGGGAGGAGGGGAGAGTAGAGGTAACCGAGCACCTTGTCTCAGGAGCTCCTCTCAGCCTGCGGTGGCGACCTCTGCTCTGCCCTGCCCTGGCTGGCTCTGCTTTCTGCCGACTTCAGCTACAATGCACTGACTGCCTTAGACAGCTCCCTGGTGAGTGCCTCAGAGGGAAGGGGGTTTGAGGAAGGACAGGGATGGGCCCTTAGGGAGGGGGCCAGCTGGCTACCTGGGGGTATCCGATCCTCTGTTTCCTTTTCCCATCCTCTGCAGCGCCTCTTGTCAGCTCTGCGTCTCTTGAACCTGAGCCACAATCAACTCCAGGACTGCAAGGACTTCCTGATGGTGAGTCTGAGCACCTTGCCTGGGACCACCACCACTGGGGCCCCTGATCATTCTGCTCTGACCTTCTCTGCTGGACCGGTTTTGCTCCTGCGTGCTCTTGCCCACCGGGTGGAGCCACATCCTGTGAGGCAGTGCTGTTGGGGGCTCAGGCTTAGCATGACACATACCAGTGTTCAAATCTCAGCTCCTAATCTCTGTGCAACCTGGGACAAATTAAACTCTCGGTTTCTTCACCAGTAAAGTGGAAATAATAGGAGTACTCACTTTTATAGTATTAAAATTATTGTGAAGAGAATCTGATGCCCCTTAGCCGAGTGCCTAGCCCAGAAAAGGGTAGCTCTTGTGACAGGGTCTCCCTGGTAGAGAGAAAGCTGGACACTAGTTAAAGTGGTAAGAACAGATTTTAATAATAAACTATTATAGTTTATTAAGTAGTAAACTATTATGATAGCTAATCAGTAGTAAAACTATTTTAATCAGTAATAAACTATTCAGCATGAACTGAGTTCAAGTTTGGTTTGTGCTGAGGTAATTGGACATGTTAAAGTGAGAGTGAGGGACTGGGGAAGGGGACCAGTGGAGGCTCGAACAGATTCTCTGCTTGACCAGATTCTCTGCTTGACCAGACTCTAGGCAGGTTCCTCTGAAGTCAGGGAAGTGGAAATGTACAAGAAGCAGGAAGGGGACACTGGTCTATGTGAAACCAGCCTGTCTGGGTTTGCTAACTGGCATATGCCAAAGTTAGGCTTCTACCTTCCCACGGAGGCTGGGAGACAGGGGCCCTATCTTTAAGTGTTAGCTGGAAAAAACTCAGTTCTCCAGGCAGCCTTGAGTTTTTCTAGGCAGGAATGTAAGGGGACTGGAGTTGTCATCCTAGGTGTGTGGGCTTGAGCTATCAGAAACTATGCTAGTATTTGTTCAGTTCAACGTTGGGGAGTGGAGGGGTAGATGAAATTGTTTGTGCTGAGTGTCTGCAGTTTTTATAGGCCAAGGTTGAGACATAGTGGAAAAGGGCTCAGAGGAACCTGGCTAGACTTTGGTCAAGGAAAGAATCTTTGTCGCCCCTCACTTCCTCCCAGGACTTGTCTGAGCTCTACCATCTGGATATCTCCTATAACCACCTGTGTTTGGTGCCGAGAATGGGACCCTTAGGAGCTACTCTGGGGACCCTGATACTGAGAGGCAATGAACTCCAGGGCCTGCACGGTGAGTGGGGGAGTGTGGTGGTGGTAGGGCAGGGAGTAGGGGGGGTGGGACAAACATGGAGGGGATGGGGCAGTGTGAGACTCAGGGTGGCAAGGTGGCCTGGGAACTGTGCACCTCCAGAGCCTCATGCATATCCACTGGCAGGTCTGAGAGGCCCAGGATTGTCTTTTCACTGCACCCTCCCCCGGCACGCACTGTACCCCCAACACTCCCCCACCCTCTCCACCCTTTCTCTCACTCATGTGCTCTTCCTCTTTTCTTGCCTCCGCCCAGGCCTGGAGCAGCTGAGGAACTTGCGGCACCTAGATGTGGCATACAACCTGTTGGAAGAACACAGGGCGCTGTCACCACTGTGGATGCTGGCTGAGCTTCGCAAGGTGAGACTTAGGCACTTCAAGCTGCCTAGAAGCCAGCTTTGCACCCCACCCTTCTTCCCATGCTGATGTGGTCAGTACCCTTCCTCCCACTGGGAGGCTCAAGGCCCACCTCAGTCTCCTTCCTGCCCCTCAGCTGTACCTGGAGGGAAACCCTTTGTGGTTCCACCCTGAGCACCGAGCAGCCACCGCCCAGTACTTGTCGCCCCGAGCCAAGGATGCTGCTTCTGGCGTGAGTGATCTTCCCATATCTGTTCTGCTTTCCCTTTCCTGCCCAGCCCCGCCCTCATCTCTGCACCTCTTGCCTCTTCTCACCCCCACCCCCCAGATGCAGGCCCTGCTCCCCTCACTTATTCTTTCTTATTATGCTGGTACCATCTGCTGAGCCTGGTGGTCCTCACAGGCCTAAGAGGGCTCCCACCCTGGCTTGGAGCTCCCCCAAGGTGTGAGCCTCACCACCAACACTGCCCCCTCCTCTTTTATCTTTGTTCAGTTCCTTCTTGATGGAAAGGTCTTGTCACTGACTGATTTTCAGGTTAGTATGATGGGGACTGGTGGGAGTGGGACAACAAGGACTGATTTGCGAGGACGCTAGCAGAAGGAAATGGTTTCCAGAGTAGACTCTTCCTGTCAGCTGGAGAGTAGATCCATCTCTCGGCTAGCTAGGGTAGGGCAGAGGTGCTCCTCCGGCTCTGACCTCTTTCTCTTTCCTGTTGTCACATGCCAGACCTCAACATCCTCAGAGGCCCTACCTCAGTCCTGGCTGGTGGGGAGTACCACTGAAACCTCTGGTGGCGCTGACTTGAGTGACAGCCTCTCCTCAGGGGGCACTGTGGTCCAGCCCCCAATTCGTAAGGTTAAGGTAAACAGTGTCCTAGGCTGCCTCGTACCTGGGGTTGGGTCCCTTGACTGGGGCTCTGAGTTGTTGATGGGCTGAGAATAGTAAGGCTTTGTCCTTGCTTGTGGGTGGCGTGATTTGAGTGGGGTGGGTGGGAGGCCTGGCTTTCACAGAATATCATTCCTCTACCCAAATTTAGAGCCGAGTTCGTGTGAGGCGGGCAAGTATCTCCGAGCCCAGTGACACGGACCCAGAGCCCCGGACTCAGGACCCCTCCCCAGCTGGTAGGTCAGCCCTACCCCCCAGCCTCCCATGCCCCAGTCCAGCACTCCTCAGTCTTCTGGTTAGGAGGAATTTTATTTTCAGTGGAGTAGAGCACTATAGAGGGCCGTAGTCTTTCCTCTTTCCTTTTAGTTTGGGGAAAGGAGAAGAGACAACTCTTAGGCAGCGCTTTCCAAAGTGTTTTACAAGGAATATTACTTTTCTGGGATGCCAAAAGGATTCTGTGGCCAGATGTGTTTGGGAGATGCTAGGTTAAACAAATAGGAGTCCTCCTTCTGGAGGACCTTAAATGTCCTACTGTGTTGCAAATTTCCCAAAGTGGCACATGATGCGTTTGGGAATTGCATATGACCGGAGTGTTTTGTAGAACACACTTCGGGATGCTGCTGAGCAGAAGCCTTTAGCCTCTCTCTGACTCCCCTCCCCCCTGCCCCGGCCTTGCCTCCACCCATTACACAGACTTTTTCTTCACCCTGGGGAGCATTCTCAGGGTGGTGGTAGGGATGCAGGCTGGCTAAGCTGTGTACCCACCCCCATATACACCTGTCCAGGATGGTTTGTACAGCAGCATCGGGAACTTGAACTCATGAACAGCTTCCGGGAACAGTTTGGCCGCGACTGGCTGCAGTATAGGAATCACCTGGAGACCTCTGGGATCCCCAGCCTGGCTACCTCCAAGATCCCTGCACTTGGCGCACTGTCCCCGGACACCCTGAGCCCTGAGACTGTGCCCAGCCCTTCCCCCCCAGAAAAGGAGTCATCACAGGAAATGGCAGAGGAGGTCATTGTGGGGCCAGAGCCACAGGAAGAAGAGGAGATGGAGAAAGAGGAGATGGAGGAGCCAGGAAAAGAGCAGGAACAGGAGCAGCAGAATGAAGTGGAAGGTGAGCTGCAGTAGCTGTGGTGGTGGTGTGTTTGGGAGAGTTAGGAAAACCCAGGTGCAGGGGGCTGACGCCCTGTGGAAGGAGGGACAACCCATAAGAGGGCAGAGTCTTGGTACCTTTTCGTCTTTACGGGGTCCCTCTTTTGTTTCTCCTCAGAGGAGCTCTGTCGCCCCATGTTGGTGTGTCCCTTGGAGGGGCCTCAGGGCGTGCGGGGCAAGGAGCGCTTTCTCCGGGTCACTTCTGGCCACCTGTGTGAGGTGGAACTCCAAGCAGCTCGAACCCTGGAACGGCTTGAGCTCCAGAGTCTGGAGGCAGTTGAAATAGAGGCTGAGACCCCAGCCCAGAGGGAACCACTGCCGGAGGTGAGTGTGGGAGGGGCTTCTGGAAGAGGCGCTGGGCTTTTTGCAGGAGCCAGCTCTGACAACATGGCTCTTGGGTGCTGGGCACCAGGCTGTGGATCCCCACTGTCTCTCACTGGCGTTGAGGAGGTAGCTGGGGGCCAAAGGTGGCCCCAGGTGGTTTGGGAGGCTGGCCTAGGAGTAGAGCTTCTGGGCCAGAGTGGATGTTAGCAAAAGCATTTTAATGGAGTCCAGAGCTATTGTTTCCCTCTGTGCTCTCAGTATATCCCTAATCCCTCTGCTGTTTTTTTCATGGTGCCCTCTTTCCTCACAGGGCTCGGAGCTGCCCCCCATGGCCCCTGTCCTTGCTCTGCGCTTCTCTTATATTTGCCCAGACCGGCACTCGCGTCGCTATGTGGTGCTGGAGCCTGATGCCCAAGCAGCTGTCCAGGTGATGGGTCCAGAAGCCTGGGGGAGATTGGAAGGCTGAGGGCTGGGCTCCTGCTCACAGCTATGTCCGGCCCACCCTGTTTCAGGAGCTGCTTGCTGTGTTGACCCCAGCAGCCACCAAGGCTCATAATCAGCTGGGGGAAACAAGAGACCAGCTGGCAGGCAGACTCCAGTGTCTACGTTGTGGCCACGATTTCAAGCCTGGGGAAACTAGGTTGGGACTAGACAGTGTGGAGGGCTGGAGGCCTCTGTGCCAAAATACAGGTACAAGCCCTGCCCTTGACCTGCTTGTCCATTTCAGGGAAAACGGCTTTGAGGGAGGGAGTGTGGAGGGGGACCCCCAGGGAAGAAAGGAGTGGGGACCAACTTCCTGCCTGGAGGAAAAATAAAACCGTCTGCCAGCTACATTTACAAAAGTAAAAGAAGAAATATCCTTTTCCCCCTCTAAAAGTCAGGAAATACAATCTCTGTGTTTAAACATACTCATTATTTTTTCATAACCTGAAGGCTTGCCCCCTTTTTTGGCTAATGGTTCAGAAACTGCATAAAACCTAATGAGCCCTCAGTGCTCCGCTGGATTATAGTGCTGCCATCTGAGCACGTCTGGCTGTTGAGTAGGCTGCTGTGGGACTTGGCTGAGACTGTCCTTCCCCACTGACCTTGGAAGCTGCTAGATATTGAGTTGTGCCTGTGGCATCTCTTCACATTCTGTTCTTTGAGATGAGAAAATTTTCCACTGTAGACCAGTCAGAAAGCCATGCCTTTGAAGATGTTGAAGAAGAGAGATACTCTTGATAACTCCTATGTTGAAATGCATGATTTTTATCACTTTTCTCTTCTTGGCAGCAGCTAGGGCAGGAGTTTAAATTTTACTCAGAAAATAGACCCTTCTCCAGCTCCACCCTGAACCTGCCCAGGACGTGGCAGACCCCAGAGGCTCAGCAGGGCAGTGTGTGTAGTGGAAATAGACCCACCACCTCCCAGACCCTGTCTGTACTCCATGGGGTCGTGTGGCCCCTGGGGTCCCTTCAGTGGAAGCATCTTAATGAACATTTCTGTGTGCTCCATTCAGCATTTGCTTGAGCCTCAGGTATCTCTTCTGAACAAAGATGTGAATGAACTTGCCCCAAGGTGCTGGTAGGGGATTTAAATGTGACAGAAAAGCACCAGGCACAGTGCTGGGCTCCAAACAGTCTTGGGGGGG